CCCCTAATGTACCTTCTTGTATATAAATAAATAAATAAATAAACTTTTTATGAAGATTTTTTCATATAAACAGAAATAAATAGGTATGTGGCGAAATCTTGCAATTAAAAGAGTAGGCCAAATAAATACGATGTTATAAAGCTCACATTAACGTTCGTCAATATACATGCGCCATGTTTTCTTTAAACGGAACTTTAATAAATCACTTAAGTGCCACATGAGTAGCGTAAATATGCTGCCGAGGCGAAGAAAGCATAGATCAAAACTTATATATGGGTCTCATCCCAGCACGTCCCAGTGGCGCAATCGGTTAGCGCGCGGTACTTATACGACAGTGTCTGAGCCATGCCGAGGTTGTGAGTTCGAGCCTCACCTGGGACATTAGTTTTCCGCACCAAATAATAAAATTCGTGTTTTCATACTAACCAACTCGTTGTAAGCACCTTCACCTGTGGACTCACGGTTCACGGTACTCCTGAAACGACGACTTTTTATACATTTCATGTTTTTGTCGTAGATTAATTTGTATTGTGTTGGGGGTGCCACTTATGCGTATATTAGCGAAGTTATCACCTTCATCCAGAGAGCTGCCACCTGAGAGAAATGTTTTCCTAGCATAAGTACATGACCTATGCTTTAACCATAGACATAACACCGCCTGGCCCAAGAACGTAATGTAATTATATGTACTATTTTTAATGCCAATCTGGAGATAGATGACTGTCAGCGTACATTCACACTCATTACAACTAGAAACTTACATAGTAAACTAAAGTCAAGAGCAATATCCGAACACAGTCTCCAAAACAACGTGGCTGACAGCCCAAGCGTGACACATATTCCTGCCTTTCCTAAGGTATATTCAATAGTTCAGAAATATTATTGAACACGTGATGCAAACGTGAACGCGTGATGCAAACCAAAGACGTAGATTTCAGTACATTCATGATTATATATTTATGTTTATGTCTGTTTTTGCTTACCGTTCGGAGGATTCGAACCGTGGGCGCGTCTCAACCTTCCGGGTTGCGAGCCGCAGATCATGACAGGAAAATCTAATTCGCGATGATGTTTTATATCATTCTGCACAACTACACTTTAGTTTTAATTAAAGCCTTTATAAGAAAAATCATTTATCATTGGTTGATTTAGGGGCGACGACGATCGTGGGATCGGATGCGCCCATTTATCATTGGTGATTAAACTAACTAAAACTCACTCGTTGTGTTAACGGCCTCTGGGTAATAACGATGATATTAGTTTAATAAACTAAACAGACTGTTGATATATAATATATGGTAACAAATTTTCTAACTACCTCAGCAGTGCTGTTACTTGCGCAGGTGAACTTGTAATTACCTTTACCTTGCGGAGCGAAACTCATATAATTTTCTCTAACCCGCGCAGCTAAACGATTTTTAGGGTTCAGTTCTGAGCCCTTTGTAATTGTAATTGTAATCCAACTGTAATTGAACTGAACTAAAAAATACAGTGACAAGGAAAGATGCAGTACGTTAGGAGCTCGTGTATGGTCACCTGTGTAGTTTAATATTCTACACTCCTGTGTAGTTTAATATTCTACACTCCTGTGTAGTTTAATATTCTACACTCCTGTGTAGTTTAATATTCTACACCTCCTGTGTAGTTTAATATTCTACACTCCTGAGTAGTTTAATATTCTACACCTCCTGTGTAGTTTAATATTCTACACTCCTGAGTAGTTTAATATTCTACACTCCTGAGTAGTTTAATATTCTACACTCCTGAGTAGTTTAATATTCTACACCTCCTGTGTAGTTTAATATTCTACACTCCTGAGTAGTTTAATATTCTACACCTGTGTAGTTTAATATTCTACACCTCCTGTGTAGTTTAATATTCTACTCCTGTGTAGTTTAATATTCTACACCTCCTGTGTAGTTTAATATTCTACACTCCTGTGTAGTTTAATATTTATCATTCTTTTTTCTTGTTTTTCCCTTTTCAAATTAATTTATGATTTGATCTCAATTAGTTTTAAGTTTTAGTCAAAGTGTTTTCCCCACATCTTGCCTGAAACGCTGTGCGTATTAGAGGCTTTAGGCCTAGTATGTACTAGCTCTTTCTAGATATCCAACATTCTGTTTGTCACTCATCTTGTATGTATGTACTTTTACCTAAATAAACATTTTATTTTACCTAAATAAACATATTTGTTCAAAGCGACTAACTTCAAGATGGAGTAAAAAGTCTACATTGTTAAGCTGATAATTTCCACAGTGTTGTTCTGCTCTTTGGTCTATGGGGCAGCCAGACTTTCATAGTTGAGGAATTGCCCGTAAATTTGTACATGAAGGATGAAAGAAAAAATAAGAAGAAAGGGTTGTAAAAGGAGAAGGAGTAATAAGAAGAGAAGGTTTATAAAGGAGGATTATTGAAAGGGGAGCAAGATGATAAAGGGTCTACGAACAGGAGAATGGTGAAAGAAGGAAGAGGAGTACCGAATTAAGGAAGAAGAAAGAACAGTAGTAGGACGAAGAAGAAGGGAAGGTTGACGAAGGAAGGATGAGGAGGATTAAAGAAGAAGGATAAAGAGGAGGAAGAAGGATGTAGAAAGAGCAGGATGAAAGAAGCTTGAGAAGGAGCAAGATGAAGGAAGCTTCAAGAAAGCGGATGTCAGGTAACTTCCAAGACCCTAGCTAGGGTTGCTGAATGACTAACGTAACAAGCACCAACCAGCTTGCATGACGGCCTATGTATCTGCACGCCGGCAGTTGTTGGATTGTTCCGGGAAATGACGTCAGCATTGAATGGCAGCATTTGTACTGTGACGGGGAGGGAAGTCTCTCGTTTTAAGACATATTGTGGATGGTATTATACCACCCACAATACCATATTGTGGTATTATCATAATCTTATGTTATACTCACCAAGACCAAGAGACACTAGGTACTCTAGCATTGCTATGTTTACATTGCTGGAGGCGAGTAGCCTACAAAAACTGCATATTTCAGCATGTATTGATATGGTTTATTTCCTCAGATGTAGCGTCCGTGTGTGTGCGCTAAGAGTGTGTGTGTGCGTGTCTATACTTCCTGTTGTGTTTAGGAGCAGGATCGCCTGCTTCTGTGTATTGTTTGTGGTGTGTGGCGCCGCTATGGAAGACTGCTTGGATTCTCACACGTATGGTATGTGCCTAAACATGTGACTCGTCAGTGAAGGAATATGGTCGTATGTAAGAGGGACAGAACTGTTTCGGCTCTTCAGGGGGATTAAAAGCTCCATTACTGGTGTGTGATCTGTTAAGGAGATAAGTGACTGGCGATTTCCAGTGTTGTAGTGACAACGTATGCGAGGTAAGTATCAGGAGAAAGCGCTACGTCAGTTTCACTAAATAGCACTTAGAAGTGATATGAGGACAAGGAGCTGGGATATAATGTCAAGGAGCTGGGATATAATGACAAAGAGCTGGGATATAATGACAAGGAGCTGGGATATAATGACAAGGAGATGGGATACAAGGAAATGATGACAGAACTGTGTCCAACCACTAAGCCTACCGGGGACAACGTAGGTGAGGGGACGTTGGAATAGGTCTATATTAACTGGAGAACCTGAATAACTTTAAGAAGTGCATTCTATGGTCTGCAGGAGGGTGGCACGGTATAGCTTGATGACTGTTTTCAGCGCTAACGTTGCACCCGGTTCGTATCCCTGAGGGAATGCGGGAGCCTTGGTCATGAGAGTACCGAGAAGAGCCGGACATAGGAGAAGATTGTAATTGTGATTAAGACAGTAGGAGTGAAGTTGTTGGTCTTGGGAATTTGCTTCATATTAACTCGTTATTATAGCACTTTGACGATAATATTGGGTCATAACAATCTTACTGTGGATTTAAATTCTTGCAAAGACAAAACACACAGCATTAAATCTTCTGATTTACCAATCAGTAAAATATAAATACATTACATGAAACTATAACTTGGTCCAAGCAACTCAAGAAATTGGGTTTGCATCATAAAGGAGAAATACACGAAGAGATGAGGAAAAAGAGTAGGCATAGGAGGACCTCCATAAGTGTAAGAGGTCTCATGTCTCAGGAAATGGGAAATCACAATGAAAGGGGAACTAGTCAGTGAAAGAGAGATCTAGGAGTGACCATACCAACAAAGATATCTACGGAGGTACCAATAGATAGCATCATGTGCTGCTGATTTTATCCTGAGCTGCTAAGCATCAGGACAGCATTCACAAGCCTAGACATGGGCTCTTTCAGAATACTATATACAGCAATATGTCCACCAATACTAGAACAGCGTGGAACCACCATATTATTTCCTAAAAACCAAACCGATTAGGTAATAATATGGTGGCTACTCCTTTTTTGTTATTAAGGGAATGTTGAACACAGCAGGGTGCTCCAACCCTGTACTATATGAGGGGTCAAGAGCTGGTGACGTTTACTCGCCAGCAGCACCCAGACGACGCGTCTGTAGTACCAACTGGCAGTGTTGTGTTCATTTACCCCAGCTGGTGTTGTCCTGGGGAACGCATGGCTGCTCTTCCTGGGAGACTCCTACGCTGCATTCCCTTACCCATCGCTTCTCTCCTTGTTTTCTCCCAGACCTGTGTGGAAGTCTCGTAAACGCATGAGAAGTGTTTACTGGTTCTGCTATTTGGGAAAAGTTGGAGAATGACAGGGATCGTTGATTGTTTTAGTCTTCGTTGAAATGCAAGAGTGTGTCGAGTGAGCACTTCTGATGTTATGTTTTCTTACCTGTGTCGCCACTTTGTACATTTTCATTAACAACTTTATGCATCATAGATACGCGCAACCACATTTCCTTTGTACTCTGCTGAATAAATAGATACCAGAAGCCTGCAGGAGCCTATAATCATACTTAATATTTACGCAGCGAGTACAGAGAACGAGTGAGAATAAGTATAGGTGGCAACGGTTGGCCCTTCGCCGAGCCGTGACTAGTTATCAGAATGGGAGTACGAGTCAGTTGAGTGAGAGCTTGTGACGCGAGAGGTGGTGGTGTGCTAGACTCGGTGCGATATATTTGTGTCCAATGGCCTAATAACCCAAGTTTTACGGTTCTGTAGTTGCCGTGTCTTAAGTGGAGCTGTGACCCCTTAAAGTAGTGTTGTGAGCCAACGAGAAGAGTAGCAGCCATGTGGAAAGCTACGGGAATTATCGTTTTCAGCCTGCTGATTTTAAAGGTAAGATTGGTGTCTGTTGCAATGTTGAAATCGCCGAGATCCGCCAGTTAGAGGAGCGAAGGAGGCCCCTGGGAAGAACGAGGCATGATCGGGAAGGCCTGTACAGTATTAGATCACAGGCGTCAAAAACTGGACTCTGCGAAAAATGCAAGTCCGATACTTTGTCGTAGTAAAAAACAGTGAAAAACCTGGCTGAAGGTGCAGTGTGTTGGGGTGATGTTGATGGGTGGGGGAAGGAAGGGGGGAGGGGGAGACAAGGTGTGTTGGTGTGGATCACAAGGTTACAGTTTATTTTTAAACGTTATAAGACACCATGCTTAGGTAAAAGTGAAAGTTTGTAAGATTTTTTCCCCATGCTTTGTTTCTGTAACGCTTTCTCCCTTGTTATTGCTTAATTATTTGCTCAAATTCGTGCATCTTTATTTACTGGATTAATAAATATTAATCGTATACATCATCATTCCGTCCAAAATATAAAAGTTGTAGACTGTTGGCCTAGACTAGAGAATATATTTTTAAGTAACGTTTTATACAGGCTAGTTTGTGCGTTCGTAAACAATATATTTACATAAAACAAAATAGAAATTACAAAAAGTATTATCACAGCTTCAGTTATTGTATCGCTTATCAAATTATTATCAGTATTAACAGTAGTAAAGTATTGTAAGTTTGTTTATTTAGAGACATCATGAACTTTGGAGATAGCGTGCAAGTTTTAAAGGTATGAAATTCTTGTAGAGGGGGTATGGTGGTGTGGAAAGAGGTGTGTGGTGGGATGGGAAGAGGTGCATGGTTATGTGGAAAGAGGTGCCCGAAACACTGTGCATACTAGTGGCTTTACAACATTGTAAACGCACCGTGATATGTACTCTTATAAACCCAATGCACCCTCTTGTATATATATAAATAAATAAATAAAGGTATGTGGGATATTTGATTTTCCCTCTGCCACAAATGCGCCCATTCATTTACTATGCTAACCATCATACATACAAGATTATTGATGTGTGTATTTGTGTAGGTGATTAAATATGTATGTGCATATATATATATATATATATATATATATATATATATATATATATATATATATATATATATATATATATATATATATATATATATATATATATATATATATATATATATATATATATATATATATATATATATATATATATATATATATATATATATATATATGTATGTATGTATGAGTATGTGTACATGCATATACAACATTAATAATTGTATAACTAGCGTCAAAAGATTGTCATTTGATTAGCTAAACGAACTAGAGGGTTCAGTTCCTGAACCGATTATGTGCCTCTGTAATCCTTTACACCACCGCCCACGGGATGGGTATGGGGTGCATAATAAAGAAAGAAATTGAAAATTGCATAGACTGGGTTAGGGAACTACGATAGAACATACTGAGTTATTGAGCACTGAACCACAGATGTTAAAGGGCTTTTTGAAGTTCAAGTTATAATTACATCACATAGACGGATTGTTTGTGATGTGTTGTGGAGTGGGAGAGGGTGCGTGGTGGTGCTGGAAGGGGACTGGTGGTGGTGTGGGAGGTGTGAAGGATAGCCACGAGAACACATAGGAAATACCAGGGTTCTTAAGATGTTTCCGTGGGCGGTCGAGGTCGGCCTGCCCACGTGCACGCCCACAACACTCTCCAGAACTCAGCTCACACCCATACGCCCACTGCCCTAACAGTCTCCACCCGTTTTTACTGCCCTTCGTGGTATATGCATATATATATATATATATATATATATATATATATATATACACATATATACACACACAAATACGACTTTGTTCCTAAAGTTATTAAAGGATCTGAGACTCTTGGTCCTTGGGAGAAAGTGCAAAGAGCTTTCTCAGGGATCTGGGTTCTAGCCTCAACGATACAACAAGAGACTTCCAGAGCAGCCAGCTTCATTTTCCAGCGCCTCAGTGTGGGGATCCGGAGGAGGAAATGGCTACTGCATCATCGGTTCGTGCCCAACGTCAGAGGAGTTCGAAGAAATCTTTAACTCTCTCTCTCTCTCTCTCTCTCTCTCTCTCTCTCTCTCTCTCTCTCTCTCTCTCTCTCTCTCTCTCTCTCTCTCTCTCTCTCTCTCTCTCACACACACACATGGAATTGACAGGGTAGGTAAAGATAAACAAACTGTTTAACTCTAGTGGTACGCGAACAAGGGGACACAGGTGGAAACTGAGTACCCAAATGAGCCACAGGGACGTTAGAAAGAACTTTTTCAGTGTCAGAGTAATTAACGGATGGAATAATTAACGGCAGTGATGTGGTGGAGGCTGACTCCATACACAGTTTGAAATGTAGATATGATAGAGCCCAATAGGCTCAGGAATATATACACCAGTTGATTGACAGTTGAGAGGCAGGACCAAAGAGCCAGAGCTCAACCCCCGCAAGCACAACTAGGTGAGTACACTCACACACAGCAACTAACCCATCCTGAACTCCTTATATACGACCCTGTACATCTACTTCGCCAATATTTCTATCATACGAATCCATTGCTATACCCCATACTCTCCCCCCATGTCACCGTAGTTGTCCTCTCGTCCGTAATTTATTGCCAGGTGCCGCCCATGCCAGCCTTCTACGACACAAGGAAGTGAGCATTGGAATCGAAATTTAAATCAGTTTATAAATAGACACAAAGGGATGAGGTAGCTCTAGCTCTTCTCACTCAGTTTAATACAATGTGTTTATATGTTTACTTACGTCACGAATTATCGTTCAGTACGTGTTCAAATATTTACTCAGATATTATAGTCGTTCAGTACAACTTGTTTATATATTTATACACCTCAAACAATCGTTACAACGATTGTAACGATTGTTTAGTACAACGTGTTTATGTATTTATACACATCACAAACAATCGACATAATTATCATTCTTGGAAGTGAAGATGTGTGCTCATAAACTCATGGAATGCGGTTCTTAAAGAGAAGCTTAAGGTGCGCGAGTCCTTAGCAGTAAACTCAGAAGGCTGAGAGGTAAACTATGAGTCCTGAGCAGTAGGCTGAGAGTATAAGAACAGTATTAATCCTCAATGTGTCTGCACAATAAACCGAAACCTGACAATGGGAAGAGCACTTACATTACGTGTGATCTCCTCTGAGCTTTGTTACAATACGTAATCCAGAAAAGGGCATCTTTTCTCATAGTGGCGTTCATTATCCTGTAACCCCAAAGAAGCACAGTGTTAGTCATGTAAAGGGATCAATATTAATCCTTACCAGTTGTACACTGGTAAGGATTAATAATGCTTATATTAATATTGTAATACTACGGTGTTTTGAGAGCGCATGTTTGCATTGACACTAAATTTGAAAAAGTTAGCCATTGTATTGAATTTTTTTTTATTATTTTTCTACCACAGACGTGGCCACACATTAACAATGCTAACCAGCATATATACATTTTCTTCTGTCCTCCATGGACAGGGTGAGAGATCTGTTAAACATATAGTTCAGGGATTTATTGAACAATCAACCACAGAAGGTGATTGTAGTGCTGTACTACAATGGTGAAATGTAATTCTGATCAGCTTCCACATATACTTTATACACACACACACACACACACACACACACACACCACACACACACACATATATATATATATATGTCGTACCTAGTAGCCAGAACGCACTTCTGAGCCTACTATGCAAGGCCCGATTTGCCTAATAAGCCAAGTTTTCCTGAAATAATATATTTTCTCTAATTTTTTTCTTATGAAATGATAAAGTTACCCATTTCATTATGTATGAGGTCAATTTTTTTTATTGGAGTTAAAATTAACGTAGATATATGACCGAACCTAACCAACCCTACCTAACCTAACCAACCCTACCTAACCTAACCTAACCTATCTTTATAGGTTAGGTTAGGTTAGGTAGCCGAAAATGTTAGGTTAGGTTAGGTTAGGTAGGTTAGGTAGTCGAAAAAGCATTAGTTCATGAAAACATGGCTTATTAGGCAAATCGGGCCTTGCATAGTAAGCTGAGAAGTGCGTTCTGGCTACTAGGTACGACATATATATATATATATATATATATATATATATATATATATATATATATATATATATATATATATATATATATATATATATATATATAATATATATATATATATATATATATATATATATATATATATATATATATATATATATATATATATATATATATATATATATATATATATATATATATATATATGACAGTCAGACCACGGAGGAAGAATTGAAACAGGAATTTCAATTCTTTTGAAATTTGGAAACAGGATTTTTCCTTCTGAAGATGTATTAATATAAGAAAGTACTTAAAGAAATTCCTGTTTCAATTCTTCCTCCGTGGACTGACACTGTCAATTTTTCATCACGTGTTAATTTTCGTGATTTACACACACACACACACACATATATATATATATATATATATATATATATATATATATATATATATATATATATATATATATATATATATATATATATACATACACATACATACATACACATACACTTATGACTCTCCCACTCTGAGAGGGTAAGAAAGCTGATAGAGAAACTAGTGTGTTATTAAGCACTTAACCACTGAAGGTGATTAAGGTGCTTTTACAAGCTCAGGTTATATAGTTACATCACATACATACATTGTATAGTTGATACATTACATGATCAATCTTGGGTACAAATCCAATATATCAAGTGTTCCAGTACTCATATTGTAGTTACAGAGTTCAGCATAACTTAGTACAGGAGGGCGAAAGTCAGTCAATATGGGACATTCTACAATATAATGTTCAACTGAGTCCATGTTTTCTTTTTCAAAAAGTTGACAACGGGGAGATGCAATCCCCCCTGGTGTCCAATCTTCGACTATGATTTGTCTTTTTTCTAATAAGCGGAAATAAACCGACCGATCAACACACACATTTCAAAGTTT